ATGCACCAAATGATGTGTACTTCCCTCACAGTCTTGTTCAATACCATAAACCGATCGACAACATTAAACTTCATGCATTTGGTGATGCCAGTAATCACGGTGTGTGTGCTGTTGTGCATGCTGTGGTTACACAAGCGTCAGGTGTGACACAGGGTCTGATTACCGCCAAATCCTGCCTTGCCGAGAAATATCTGAAGATTCCTCGTTTGGAGCTGGTGTCAGGTCACATGGCAGTCAACTTGTCTACAAATCTGGGGGCAGCACTGGAAGGTTTCAATATGACGGAAAATATACAGTGCTGGCTCGACAGCACTGTACCCCTACAGTGGCTGAACGATGACGGGGAGTACCGCCAACTCGTGGCTAATCGGGTAAAAAAGATCCAGAGCCACCCAGACACGCAGTGGAGACATGTACCGACATCCGGAAACCCTGTTGACCTAGGGAGCCGATGCGGTAATGTGAATGCGGAACTATGGTGGAACGGTCCGCCGTGGTTGTTCGACCCATCTCAGTGGCTTGCTAATATTGTGACAATGGCGACAGATGACAGCGATGCAAGGAGGAAGGTTCAACGACAACTTTTCGCGCTCGGTGTGGAAACAAACCATGACTTTGACACTGTTCTCAAAAAGTTCGGCTTGCGTAAAGCCATGAGAATTTGTGCATGAATCTCGCGGATCAATCACAATTCTCGTCGCCCATCCGAGCAAACCATTGGACCTATTACGACCGAAGAAATTCAGCAACAAGAAATGTCCTTGATCAAGCGAGCGCAGAGCCAAGGGGCAAAGACGGTCAAGTTTGGCCGTGATCAGGAACAACTGAATCTGCAACTAAACACCGATGGTGAATTGGAATGCCGAGGACGCATTCAGGGTGTGCATCCGATTTACTTGGCAGATATCAATTCCTTCGCAGCGGAAACAATGAAGCAAGTGCACGAGACAACTATCCATGGGGGAGTCAGCATGACTATGGCTAAAGTGCGAGAAAGATTCTGGGTGCCAAGGCTTCGATGCCTTGCAAAGAGAGTAGTGAAGCACTTTTATGGCTGCAAGAGGTTTCAGGCTCAGCTCCTTACTGACCCACCACCAGGTGATCTGCCGAAGTCACGTACTTAAGGGAGTACACCTTTTGATGTCATCGGGGTGGACTTCGCAGGACCAATCAAGTATGGTGGTAAGCGCAAGATAGATGAGAAAGTCTAGGTTGTACTATACACCTGTTATCTTACCCGTTCAATCTTCCTGGAAGTGCTTCCCAGCATGGAAACGGGTGAATTTATCAAGAACTTTAAACGTTTGATCACGAGGAGAGGTCGACTATCTCGTCTTGTTTTCCACAGCAGTTGGTCGTGTCCTACGAACACTCGCACTAATTTGCTTTACTTCGCTGTTCTCCAAGTACTTGCACTTGAATTCTAGAGAGGAAATTATTGCGGGAGTTAATACGCTTAAATACTTCTACTCTAGTCAAGCCTTGGTAATTCCAGTGGACTCAGCTCATGGTACTTCTCGTCTGAAGCAAGCACGCTCGCCAACACTTTCGCACAGTAGCCGTGCTCTGCCAAAATCAGTACTGCGATAAAGCTTATAAACTATGCTTTATTTGCTGAGCTTCCCTTCCTGAGCGGATCTGATGTATTGGCAAATCCTGGGCCCGTTCAACGTGTTGTGGGTGGGCCCAAATATCGAAGTAATGAACTTTGTCCGGGGCCGCCATGTTTTTCCTGCCGAAGCAGTATTGAACAGGAGTCGGATTCGATATTCTGCTCTTACTGCGATGGTTACTTCCATCGTAACTGCGTCTCCGACCTGGACCCGATGCATTGACTCGAATTCCCCGAATGGATTTGTAACGGCTGTCGTTCCACCTCTGAAGACGATTCTCTATCAGGAGAAGAGGGCTTTGTGGAGGGTATTTATTCGAGTGACTCAACTCTGTCAGACACCGAATCAGTTGAATGCTCAAGGGATAATGTTGGATCATATTTTAAGTTACCATTACCGTCAAAGGGAATACGATTTGGTCAATGGAATATTAACTACCTAACTGACAGTAAGTTTGAACAGATTAAGTTATTATTGACCAGTAATTCGAGTCGTGTGGATGTATTCTTTATTACGGAAACATTTCTTAAACCCTTAGTCTGACTCATTGTTTGAAATACTAGGTTACACAATACTTTGTAAAAACCAGACTAGTAAGGCCGGTAGTGGAGTGGCTGTGTATTGGAAAGACGGTTTGACTTTCAAGCGCCGCTCCGATCTGGAATGTGATTCAGTAGAAATCTTGTCGCTTGAACTGTGTCCCTACAAATCAAAGCGATTTTTGTTGATTGCTGGTTGTTATTGCCCACCGTCAAGTACCAAAGCAGATGACAAGTTTGAAGAATGTATTGAAACAACATATTTAAGTGGGAAGGAAATAATCCTAACTGGTGACTTCAATATAAATTTGGCTGAAGAAAGCTCCAGGAGTCACGCTTTGACGAAAAAACTGAAGACCATGCACTTTGACCGGCTAATAATTGACGAAACAAGACCTGCGAGCGGAACTCTTTTGGATCATACTTACAGGAGCAAGAATATTGAAGCTGTAGTGGTGCTAAAATATGCTCTTTCAGACCATCTGCCGACTTTTGCGGTGCGGAAATATTTTAAACAATCAAAGCAAGAGCACAGTGCAATTAAGTGCCGAAACATAAAAGGCGTTTATGATAGAGCATTCAAGTTTACTCTAGCAAACTTCCCTTGAGACACCGCCTTTGTGATTGATGATGTAAAGGGCTCGTTGGCCGCTTGGGAAGATATATTTTCTCAGGCAATTGATATGCACGCGTCTATCATGCATAAGTGGGTTCGTAAAGTAAAACAGCTGCGATGGTTAACAAGAGACATTTTAGATCAGCTGTCAAAAATAGACACCCGACTGAAAATAGCTTGGGCAGATAACACTACTGACGCATACGCAAGGTATCGCGGCGCGCGAAATCAGGCCACCAATGTGACCACAAGAGCAAAAAGAAACTACATCAAGACTTCGTTTCAGAATAGCAAAGGGATCTCTAAATCTATTTGGAATTTAATAAGATCCCTTGGAGGAAACAAACCAACGCGTCAACCATTATTTCTCAAAGTTACCAAAGAAAAGATAATCTGAACAGCGGAAGACATAGCCGATCATTTCAATCTGTACTTCACAACTTGCAGATAAAGCGAAACGATCTCTCCTGTTCACAAACGGTTGCAATCTTGACAAACTCAAACAGTTTGTCAGCGAAAGGCTACCTTTAGAATCGCAGTTCACTATACCTCCGGTCACAGCTGATATAGTGAAGGCCAATAACACAACTGAACTGAGTTGACAGAATCAGTTGTGCTCTTTTGCGCCAAGGTATCACAGAACTAGCGCCGTCAATAACAAAGCTAATCAACCTATCGCTTTCATCGGGAACTTTTCCTTGTCTTTGGAAAAGAGCCAGAGTGACTGCCCTCCACAAAGGTGGTTCTATGGATGATGTAAACAACTATAGGCCTGTTTGAGTACTTCCTGTGCTGTCTAAAATCATCGAACCTCACGTGCATGACCATTTGTCTGAATATCTAAATATTCACGTCATCTATAAGAACCATTTCGGATTCAGAAAGCAGTACAGCACAGAGACAGCGCTTGCCTAAATAGTTGATTCGCTGCTATTAAATTTGGACAAAAACCATATTAATGGTATGGTTCTCGTTGATTATAAGAAGGCTTTTGATATGGTAGATTATGTGACTCGACTCAGCAAGCTTGAAACCTATAAACTGGATAGGAGCACTTAACTTTGGTTCAAGTCATATCTAACCGATCGTACTCAACTGGTTTCATTCAAAGGACAGACTGTCAAGACTATTACAGCGGGTGTGCCACAGGGTTCCATAGTGGGTCCCTTACTTTCTGTGTTGTTCATCAATGACGTACCCTTAAATGTCCACACGCGGATCGACATGTTTGCTGACGACACCACCCTCCTCACTTCTTCCGATTATAAAAATGTAGAATAGATCAAGAATACTCTCTAACGCGAGGTCTCCAACGTTGATGAGTGGACAACAACCAACAAACTGCCACTAAATTGTTCCAAGACCAAGACAATACTAATTGATGGACCGCGCCTACGAAAACGTTTAGGTAGTGAAGATCGCATGCTCGATGATAAAAATAAGACATTTAAGCTGCAGAAACGCTGTGCTCGAATCATTCTTGGTGCCCAACGACGCCATGGCACTGTGGATCTTTACCCACTGGAGTTGTCGTGCGACCGATACCCTACACCTTGCAATGACACACCTTTGAACCCAACTGCAGTGGAGTTCCAGCCCCGACGAGATGCTGTTGTAGCAGCATGTCAACGAATACATTATTTTGGAGAGCAAGACACTTGAAAGTTGTTACCAAAGAAACATTATTTTCATACTTTATTTCTTGTTGTGTTATAGAGTCAGTTCCACTTCCATATGCACTGTTCTCAAGTCATATGGGGAGAGCGTTGGAAACTGTACGATACGCTAATTATTCTTAATTTGATTGACATTTATAAGTGATTTCGTTTATCAATACATAACCAAATGAGCATGTATGCGGCACGTGTTTTATCGCCCCATATATGGCACTCTTCCACAAGCTTACAACGGTACGTTGAGTGTTTGTGTCCTTCGAATAAGCCGAGAGTTGAGTGGGAGTTGACCGAAACGTTGTAGTAAAATCGTCAAATCAAGTGAATAAATCGTGAGTTATCAAGGAAGCGTGCTACAGCTTTTTCATGCTTTCGTCAATCTGAAGTGGAAATATGTGTTGTGTACTGAAAACCTGATTCTTATCGTACCGTCTCTGATAGCTTTTTTTAAGTATTCACATTCAAGTGATATCATTACAAAAAATTAAATTCAAATGATTCGTGTTATGACACATCTCTTCAACAAAAGCAATCAAAACATGTCAGGTCACATTCTCACCTCCACCTCTAAGTGAGCCTTCAGATAAAGTCAGTGTGATATTGTCATGATTGTCACCAGCTAGGGAACTCATACTGAGATGGTCACATAACTATTGAAAGAAGTGTAAAAGACATTACAAAAAAAAGATCGAAAATATATATTTCCATTTGACGTCTTTAATTAAAACCTCTGTTTGGCTAATATTCTTATACTAATAATGAACCCCATTCTGTTTTCACGGTTACCTTCTTTCCGTCACAGTAAAGAATCTGGTTTCTGACAGGAAGTCCAGACCTTTCCATTATCTCCTGTTTTACATCAGCAACTGATGATGGGTTAGTTAACTGCAGACACAGTGGACCAAGATAGCTATGGTCCACAATGACTTGAGTGCATGAACTGAAACCAAACATATAGATATAAGCGTGTAATTGGTAATTTAATTTAAACAAGATAATTTGATTTTATTGTTCGCGTAGACAATATACATTGGCCACCGTAAAGGGTTTCATAGCAGTCATTTCGAGCGTTATAACCTTGGTCATTGGTCATTTGCAATGAAGAAATTTTTGGCCACTCTTAATGAGAGTCCTAAACACAATTTATACTAGGCACCCGATAGTGATGCATCAATCTTAACACAAGGTCAAATTTGACACATTTCAACCAACATTTTGTTACAAAATGTTATTATTGTTGGCATAATCATAACATTTATCATACCTGATGTTGGATGAATATTCACTGGCTTTTATACCCAATGCCAGATCATTTTCTTGTTCCTTTGTCACGTCTTGGCTAGAAACTTGCGCGGCACAAGTTACATTTGGTGCATCTAACCCTTCGGTGTTTGAAGTCACTCCCACTTCTACATCATTTTCTGGACACAAATTACCAAACTGAAAAGAATCGCTTTTGTGAAGCTCCTGCTTAGTTACCTTTAAAATGAAGTAAAAGAAAAAGGAATGGTAGAAACTTACTATAGAGACCTGTGCAAATCTTAAGGTGTAGCTAATTAGCCGCTCTGTAGAGTCTGAGACAGATTTCAAAACCTTTCCCTATAGCAATAAGAATTTTCATATTGCTAGTAGCATTAACTTAAGCTATTTTTCTCAGTGCTGTACTGTGAACCTCTAAAGTTCACTGATCTTCACTCTTACACTCCATAGTTTGCCTTTATAAAGATTAGGGGGGTGAACTTGATGAATTAACAATGCAAAAGTTGCTTTTTTCTTCTTTCAGTGTGCTTCCACGGCAAGATAATTATGATGTCAATTACATTGCTTTAATACATTAAATTTTTATTAAAAGTGGCTCGCGCGATCACAGGTTAATAAACAGGAGATATTTAAACCCTTACTGTAAAAACGAAAAAGTTAAGTTATATCAAACAAACTAGTGCACATAAACCTGTTTCTTCTTTTTTTTCCACTTATGTTTCCTATTTGATGCAGAAGACCCAACACCACTAAACCAGATCAAAGAGTCATCGCGCTTTCTTCTCTTTCTCTTGGATTTTGAAAACAACATGCTATAGTCTGGAGTCAGCTGGTGAACATGTTGTGGTGGTGTATACTTTGGTTTTTGAGTTGAGGTTGTTTTAGGTTTGTTCTCTGTTGAACAATTCCTCCGCTGTTTTGTTTTGCAGAGCTGCTTTACATGATATTGAGCCTTTATTTGGTAGAACTGTCCATTACCATCACAGTACAGCAGTGCCTGTTGAATATACTGATCATTTAAATGAAAGTTATCCTCGAAGTAATATACACTATTTGAGCAATAGTGAAAATAAGGCCTAAAAAAAATTCAGGCCTGTACGGGATTTGCATTGAACCCATGACTTCTGCAATACCGGTGCAGCGCTCTACCAACTGAGCTAACAAGCCACGGCTCAGTAGTGTACATTACTGCGAAGATCACTTTAATTCACGTCTTTATCCGCAGTTCAAATATATGACTTTCATATATTCTTAGCCATTTATTCATCACTTCACGGGTTTATTTGGAACCAACATAATGACCAGCTCCCAGTTGGCTACCTATGGGGAAATCTATTTTAGTCTATTTCTACTTATTTTCAATAAGTCATAATTTATCCCCACTGTCTCCCTCCAGCACAGCACTCCATAAGGTGTTGTAAGATTCATGGAAAGAGAAATTCCTCAAAATGGTTGACAGAGCAGGTTATGAAGCTCTAACTTGTCTCCCAAATATTTCAACTGTTAGTCCTGGTGTTATTACTTACTTTTCTCAGCAACCTTTCTATTACCTCAGGATGAGATACTGATACAAAGGCATACGTCTGGAAGGAAAGAGAGGTGGGCCTTAAAATAGGAATCATTCTTGTTTTTATAGTTATTCTCAAGAATGTGTATTTCCAGAAAATATCCATACCCCCACCACGGAGGGAATTTCATATAGGACCCCCCCACCCCTCTGGAATTTCCAAAGAATTTTCTACCACCCCCTATACCCCCTGGAAATATATTTTTTCTCATAGCAAACAACAAACAAGAGGGACGTGTGATTTTGTCGCGTGTATATTCGAGAGATGGCGTACACGCGCAATGTAAACGTCGCTAACTAGCTTAAACTTAACGTTTGTTTTATTTTTAAATACAATACTTATCCTTAAACATTTAACACAGTATTTTCAGTAGATGAAAGGAGAAAAAAACCGTACAGATCGCAACAAAACACTTTTGAACTGTTAAGTTTGTACAATGTACTGAGAAAATTGCGTGCACTTGAAATGAAAACGTTCGAAATCACATTAAACAACGTAAATTTGTACAAAATTGTGTTATAAATAAGAGAGCAAAAGAGAAAACCGAGTCAGCAGTAAGTTATTTTGAACTCATCTTTCCAAATTCCAGCCTCTAATGTAAAATTTCTTTACACAAGCATTGATTCTTGTTAACAGCGGGTCGATAATTTCCTCCGATTGTGCATAAACAAACCTTGGCTAGTTACCAGTCCCACGCGCATATATACAAAGACCTGGATCCTAGTGTTTCTCAATGTTACTATCAACTGTTTTCGACTACGGTACGCCTGTACTTATCATTCATTGTAATCTCTAATTTAAGAACTTGTGAACAGCCGCTTCTTTATTTCACAGAGGCTTATGAGTAAGGCGGTCACAAATTAGTTTAGCGCTGTGGTTACATGCAACCAAACTGAAAAGGTAAATTAGCTGCTAAATGACGGTAAAAGTAGAAGAAATAAAAGCAGTTAAATCTAACAAATAAGCGCTTGTGTTCATCACTTGGCTGATTTCCAAAGCACCTGATATAAAAACAGCATCAGACAGTTATTTGTAAATTTTACGAACGCGAAACGTGTTATGACCGAGGAAAATCCCTAGGTAACCACTCCTGTTGGTTGTAATCTTTGGAGACTGGTAACGAGAAATGGCGGCTCCGTTCGAAAAACAAAGTGATTCTCTTCTTTATTTGATGTTATTTATGTTCCAAAGCGCTATAAGGATAAAAGAAAACTTTCTTTGGCTGCAGAACTGTTAGAAGTATCGTAATTTAACAACTTAAACTTCAGAACGTCCTACTAAAGTAGGCAAGTGGCGCCAATTGACATACGAAGAAAGTCGATCGACTTCCTACCCTCTGGATGAAAATTTCGCCTCTTACCCCCATCCCCTCTGGAATTTCCTGGGACTTTGACCCCCCCACCCCTCTGGAATTTCCAATTCCCTCCGTGGTGGGGGTATGGATATTTTCTGGAACCACACAATGGTGAAAAACATAAAATACTATCAATTAGGGTATTGTACTTTTGTTTTTTCTGAATAGAGAAGAGGGAAACATTCACAAAGTTTGAGTCAAACTAATTCTTTAATTAGGCCATTGGATAGAGCAGAATGCAGATTAATCATGCAGATTGCATGATAATTTTAACATTTGTATCCTGAATTAATTTAGGGCAGCATGAAGGTGAAAAATGTGCCCAGTGAAGCTACAATTTACTTCACGTTTTGCTGAGGAATTGTAAAGGCTGTTAAACTAAGGTACCTAAATTGAGATAATTGATATCTTCAAAGTTGAGTTGCTCTCTTAATAATGGTTCAAAGAAGATTTGAGGCTGGCTAAAGTTATTACTGAGATTTCAGATGTAGATGTACAGCTGAATTAGTAAGCACACAAGGTAAACAAGAAGCCAACTCCACTTAAATTACATCTGTGGTAAACTTTCACCATTGCCAGCACAGCACTTCAACCACATGAATTTTCCATTTCTGTTCTTCTCTCAATGCAACCATTATCAGCTCCTTAAGACTGTCTTGGGCATTTGTATGTTTTAAAATCCCAATTTGGTACTTGATGCCAAAAAAGTGCAATTACATACCCCATCATTTCAATATTGTAATCAAAATTATCCATCCAATTACCAGTCAAGGAAGATTCAAGATAAGGAGTGAACTCTTAATGGGTAGACTCCTGCTGTAACAAACTCTAGCTTGGTGACGAACTGCAATGATTCTCTTACCTTTTGCTTTCACAAAATACTTCAGCTCTCATATTACTTTTCATAAATTCTAACATAACTAAACCATGTTTTTAGATGTTTCCTATTTAACCCTAACTATGGTCTAACTGAAAGCTAATGCTTATGCTCAAAGTGGAAATCTTGAAAAGATCTTCTCTATCACTGTTAAAAGAATTCAATTTTTTTTGTCCTTACAATGACTCACCTTTTTAGAGGGAATGCTCACTTTAGTGATGACATCAGGCAAGCCATACACACCTACATAGGTTCGCAGATGAAAGGGTTATACAATTCTCCATTCACCCAAAAACTGAAGGGATCACTCTTAATGGGTAGATAATTTTGCTTTATCAACTGAGTAGATAGAGTAAATTGTAATATAATTGGTAGTTTCCTTTTGTGACATTTGTAGTGTTGACTGTCAAGCAATCTGTTGGGCGCATTGGGGCATAACCAAGTTTTGAAAACTCGACACATTGCTTCTGATTTGTAGGAAAAATCAGAGCCATCACTACATAAACAAAGAAGTCCAAGAAACTGAAAAAGGACTGATATTCTTAATGTGATGGATGTGAAGATGAACACAACAAGTTACTAAGTAAGTGAACTCACATAGTTACTTGTTGTGTTCATCTTTGCTTCCTGTTGTATTCACAACAAACTTCTCAGAGAGAAAATACTGACCATATTCCATTCACTCTCACATTTTACCCTCACAACCACCCATGGTAATTGTAAAGAACAGCTCCCCTCCACTGACAGGTAGCCAACTGTTGTCTAACAGTTGCCTGACTGTTGGTAATCTGTTGGTAATCTGTCAACTGACAGTCTGCTGGCTGTCGGCTGACAGCTTACCGACAGTTGGCAGGCTATTGGCTGATAACTTTATTCAGGTTTTGCTGAAAAGACAACTGCTTGTAGGGAATCTGTTGGCCAACAGTTGACTATCTGTCAGTTGACTGTCACTAATTTGTTGGCAAGGTGTTGGTTATCTGTTGGTAGAATGTCCCCAGCTTAAGGATGATTATTGCCATAAAAAGTTTATAATTGGCAACCCTTGATAATGGCATTGCAAAGATAATAGAAACTCTTCATAGTCTCAGATGTTAATAGCTCTTTTCTGCTAGTTCAGTGCAATTTCTAAGCAATTTCTCTTTCAACACTCACTTTGGACGTATTGTAAAACTGTAGTTCTTTTTTGCTTGGGAACAACCTTGTTTTATCCAAAGTGAATGGTTGGATGAAATATTTAAAAAAAAATTTACAAAACCCCATATCCTACTTCAGGATTATAGGAAAAGTTATTGTGGTTTGGTTGGTGTAGGGGACCCTGGGTCCAATTGTTTTGCCTAGTACAGTGTACCTTTTATTTTACTGAATACTTCAATGAATAAATAAAATATTTTAAGTCAGGGTAACTAACAAGGACTTTTAAACACAAGGTTATCTTCTAATGTAATAATCATCCAACCCATATGAATGAAAATACGAGAGGTGCTTTTGCTTGGGGGGAGGGGGGGATAGAGGGGTTGGGGTGAAGGAGGCTAGCAAAAGATGAGTGGCTAGAGAGGTTGTAGTGAAAGAGGCTGATGAAAGATGGGAGCTTTATTGCTTCACTAGACTGGGGGCTTATTACTGAGTGGGAAAATCAATTGTTGGTCAAACCTACAATTGTCAACAATTGTATAATATATAACATATATGTAGCTGCTTTTATGGAAGTATTGGGAAATGAATACAAAGTACAAATGGCTACAATACCCCCCCCCCCCCCCTTCTTTTCCTCTTCTAATTTTGAACAGTCACAGAAACGAAAAGGCAACATTGTACAAGGGAAGACTGCAAATTTTCAGAATTGTATGTAAGTTGAATGTTAAAGATAAGGTTTATCCTTGACACTACAAATGAGATTTCAACTGCAACTTTGGTATATTAGAAGTACATGTCACAGGAAAGCCTACGAGAAGCTACCAACAGGGCTTTTAAATTATGGGCTCCCCCAGTTTAACAGTAGAATGGTAGGAAAAGTCAAAGGCAAAAAGGGAAAGAACAGAGCTAAGATGTTACCCTCAACTATGAGCAACAATGCAAAAGCAAAGTTACATGCATTAATCTTGGTCACAACAAAGGCATTGGTAGGGGTGGCTGAGCTCCTTAGTCTTACTGTTCCAGTGTATCAATTTTAAGACTTGGTCAAGACTTCACAGTCCTGATTATGCCAAAATGGAGCTCTCTGTGGTTAGTAAACCTTTGCAGTGGGTATGCTAGTGGCAGAGAAATGAGGTGCATCTTTAAAAAAACAACAGAAGACTCAGGAGGAGGGCTTCAGAAGGGCTGAAAGAGGATGCAATACTCTCTGGTCATTACAGAAGAAATAAATTTATAATATCATTGAGGAACTAGAAGTACTGAGTTACCTTTGGACTAACTAAGGATATGACAAGTTGGCAATTAAAAAACTTGCTAGATTCTGTTATAAATTTCAGAAAAACTTGACCTTTTGAATGATTTGTTGAGTTTCAGTATCCGAGTCTCCCACAGTGAAAAAGTCAGAGTTTCCTTTTCAAATTACTGGAGAAAGAATGTAGTCGAATTGAGCGTCTACAGTACTTTCAATAAAATTTGAAGCAAGTGGCTACCTAAGTAAATTACCTGCCTGAGAAAATTATGAAAAAAAAAAAAAAACAGTGTTAGCCCATTAGCTCCATTCAGAACAAAATGGCTTCAAATGGAGTTTTCAGTGTTAACCTTTAGTAAAAAATCATTGAATATTAGCCTCTTTGTAACAATTGTTTAGTTGATTGTTTTATTTCTAACCAAAGTCTTCCATTTGCTACAATGTAAACCTGCTGCCTGAGTTTCACACAAAAGTCCCCTGAAAGGACAAATGGTTACTAGTTGCTGGAATTTGAGTCAGTATGTTCTTGGAAACTCAAATTTTTTTTTGCTGGAAATGTGGCAAATGATATGACAGCCTCAGTCATTTTTATCAAAACTTGTTTATAAAGATAAAAGTCAATTGAAAGAACTCTAAGAGATCTTGAGGTGTGTTAGGTCTCAATTTGTGAAAGCTTCCAAAAAGTCGCAACAATGCATAATACTAAACACTTTCATGAGGCAGTTTACGAAAACAAAATTATACCCTGTGTGTATTAAATCTGCATATGCACATGTTCTCAAATTTTGAGACTACAATCCAAACCTTTCCTTGTCTGGTCATGCCAGATTCTATTATTTTTTTCATTCATTCATCACTTTTTGACTCACAGTTGCCTAAAGTATCTGCATAGTAATGCTACCATCTTTGTTTACAGAGTTTTCTCCTGCTTGCAATTGGATAAAAACCTCTTAGTCTCCTACCTCAAAATGCAGAGCACATTAAATGATCCAAGTTTTTTTTTTACCAGGTGAAATTAAATCTTCCACAAGTTTTCTTTGTTGGAAAAATAGTTTCCAGAAGTGTGCCATGATGCATTCTGCTGAAAATGTTTACATAAGATAATCAACGCAAACAATCAGCCAATGAATTCTAACTGTTCCCATGGCTCATGTTTCAGATCAGATCATAGACAATTGTTGAGCTGTCAATTCCTTCAGAAAAAGTCACTTACTCATGTTTTGGGCAAACAGTAACCATAAGAACATGGTCTTCTTTGCTCTTCACAACAAAAGCAGCTTGCTTTTTCCCATAAAAGGTTACACACTGAGTGTTCCATGGCTGTTCCTTTTGTTTCTTTCATTGAAGTTGAGCCTCAGTTATGCATTTTTATGCCAACTTACATCTTTACAAAAAGGCTCTGACTTTGATTTAAGTGTGTTATTGACAAGCAGGCTCTTTCAACAATTTTGATTTTCAAGTTTGTTTTCTAACTAGAAGTCAAGAAGAACTGCTGGTTTTTGATTTGTCCAAAAATATTTGATGTTTAAGGTCAGCCAAAGTTGTTTGAAAATCATTTTAAGTAACCAAAGACGAGTACTTCTACTTCCTGAATGATTAATTTCAGCACAACATGCAAAAGAAGTAGAAACAGGAAATTGCAAGTGAACAAAACGATTCTTACATTCAAAGACCATGGGATTTGAAAAATAAATAAGACTAAATTGACTATTATTTATTCATTGACTATATCATTTATTTATTTCCTTGTTCTGTAAATGTTTGGACCCAGCAAAGAATACCCTGATCTCAGAAATATCTTGGAAGAGTTCTCGAATGCTGTTAGAAGCCTTTCAAGGTACAGTTGGCATGCTTGGCCCTAGGCTATCAGACCCTAAATCAGATATGGTGCAATAAGGGAATGATCAATGTTTAAGAGCACCTGTCTTGGCCCAATAGTTCTAGTTTTATAGAGTGGCAATATAAAAAATGTACAATAACTGATATTCATCTGACTGATTTGAAATTTTAGGAGACGCATATTTATAAAATACATTTAAGCAAAATACCTTCAAGAAAATATCTTAAGGTGTTCTCTTGGCAATCAGGAGGCAGACCATGAAGGAATAGCTTTAACTTCTCCTCGTGCATGTTTGGAATGCTTTTGATTGTAGCAGTACGGTCTGGGGAAAAATTTAATATCTAGTTAAAATGATTTCAGAGCCTTCTGAGTTCACTGGCACCAAATCACCAATATAGTAACAGTATTAAATTGGAGAAAAAAATAATATGGGTAAAATTGATTCAAAGGAGTGTCAGTGGTCTGCATCTCTATGGGTGCATTCCTTTGGGAGAATCCATGTCTGGATTACTGATCTGTGGCATTCCTTTCAAGCAAATCCATTTTCAGATCAGTGATTTATCAAATCCACTCTGGACAAAGATTCATCAGATCACTGATCTGCGTGATCTAAAGAATGATCATTGGATCATTGATCAAACATGTTCCTTTGGGCAAATGATCTGAAATTAATCATTTTGCCCAGCAGTGCTCAATTTCAAACAAGTAGGTTCTTCATATATTGACAGAAAGGATTGTAAGCAATTGTTCCACAAATTCTGCGATAAACACGAAATAAAATTGATTTTGTAATGTTAAATCGATTGGCCACTGATGACAGGCATCCAGGATTCCCACGTATCCATATTGTAAACAATACTTGCTTCTGTAAGTCAATGGTAGGTCTCCCCCCATTCTTTTTTCCATGAGGCAGACCTAGGCAAGTAGCTAACAGGTGTTCCAAACAGCTGACTGTGGTTCTTGATATCCGCAAATGACTTAAAAATCTGAAACAAAGTAGAGTGGTTTAACACGTTCAAACAATTCTCAATGCGGACATGGCTTTTCCTCTCCCGTGTCAAAAGAAACAATAGAAATTCTTCATCTTTACAACTTCTCCCTTCTTGTAGTATTAAATCATTGAAAAGTCCCTCCATTAATGAAACAGCAGCTGCTCTATCCATGATGGCCATGTTGTTTTCATTTTTAGATTTACTAACATGCTCTACAATTTCGTGCTTGTTGTCATAGTAACTGATCTGATAAACTAAAGCTCCGTTCCTTTGATGCAACGTGATCTGTGTGATTTTAGGTAACAAATCCTATTCTGAATCCTCTCAAAGGAACGCACCCTATAAGGTTTTCCTTGATGACCTCCATAATGAGTTAAATGCCACTAAAACTTTTTTCAAGTGGTTTTTGCAACTAGTACTTTTTTTCCTCTGTAATTGACAGCTGTTAGATCATGACAAATACTCATGACAAAAAATTTTTAGAAGTTTGTTTGGAAGCAAGATGTTGTTAAGTTTTAGAAAAAAAGTAAAGATGTTATTCATCAGCCTAGGTCAGTCTGTATTGGAAATATATCTACAAAAACAAACAAGCAGAACAAAACGAACAAAATTTATTTATTTTAACAATTAAAATACATTACTAACAATCCTAACCCGCAAAATACCGAAGCTGATCGAGGTTGAAGGGAAACAAACATTAAAATAAATTCTCCTACAACAAATTTGACTGAACATGCACATACATGACAATTAAAAACAGTACAATAAGTTACTGATAAGCCAATTAGATGTTATATATTACAGCTGGAATAAAATTGCACGTGAAGAAAAAGAAAAACACAACAACATCAACAAAAAAACAAAAAAACTTTACAGTGAGGACACTCCTTTTTCTGCCTCTTTTTGATGATTATCCAATAAGAGCTCTCGAAATAGACAAAAGAATTTTCATTTTTATAGCGCTGTCCAATTGCAATGCTGATAGGTATATTTCATCTTAATTTTTTCGTGCTACTGTCTCCAATGTTATGGCTGAATTTTTTGAATGTGAAAAGGCTTGTGTGCCCTGAAATTATGCAAGTACAATTTGGTTCTCTAACTTCAAGCAGTTTTTTGGGTTTCTGATGGTACTCTGTGTTTTTCTTTTTGTGAAGGTGAATTCAAACTAGATGTCAATCAGCAATCAATTCAACCAGATTTAGAGCACCGTGATAGATAGCTCTTGAACCAATTAATGGTTGAGGGTGATGCTCCTACTTTGGAGAGTTTAAGAGACAGCTTTTGATGTTGAATGCTTTCAAAAGCTTTTGAGAGGTCTAATAGGATGAGAGTGGTGTGCTTCTTCCCATCCTTAGCTTCTAAGATGCAGTCTGTGGGGTAGATGTTCAGATCCCAGTGGAATGGGCCTTTTTTTGTTACCACTCTGGTGGGTTGTTAACCTGTTTTTGTTCAGGAGGTAAGTAGTGAATTGATTGAGAATAATTTTCTTGCAAACCTTAGACGTAATGGTTAACAGTGATAGTGATCTGTTACTGGCCACTTCTTCATGATCTCTGTCTTTAAGGATAGGTATCACCATGGCTTCTTTCCACCTATTTGGAAATGTACTGGTAAGAATGATTTCAACAAGAGGGCCTTAGATGATGGGTAGGCAGTTCTTGATTATGCGTGCACTAACTTTATCAGGATCACGTGCTTTGATAAGTGGCAGAGACAATGCAACTCGGCGTACTTCCTCACATGTCACAGTCCTGAGATTAAAAGGCTCATTGATGGGAGGGAGGTCAACACTGATCTCCTTGGGCATCCCTATGTTGTTTTCTTTCGCCAGGTGCAAGGAGGCATCTGTGGCATTTCTTCCAACAGCTGCGAAAAAACTGGTTGAATTCATTTGCTGTGGATGTCAGATCTTTTGAATAAATTTGCCTTTCCTTCATTTTGAGAAGAAGAGCGTGATTAATTATCTTCCAGAGAGAACCATGATTTTTCTGATGCAATTTTACCTCTTCGAATGTGTGGTTTCTCTCAGCTTCAAGAAGGGTTTTCTTAACCAAGTTGTATGATTCTTTAAAATTAGCCCAGTCAATGGCATCCTGTGTTTGAAGAAATCATTTGAGGCCATTCTTACATTTCATGAGATCCTTGATTTCCTGGTTGACAAAAAGACAGGGCCTGCTACAGATCTTAGGGAATTTCATGGGAGCATGGATGTCTTAAATGGACTGTAGAGTATCAGTAAATGTATTGAGCTTGATGTCCACATTGCTAGCATAAAAAACTATTAGAAGGCCAATGCCTTATCTGTTAGGTCTACCATAAAGAGGTTATGGCCATAGTTCTTATAGCTGTGGATATTTACAAATTAGGGTGGGGGACATTTTGGTGGATTAACTTTGATTTTCACAAAGACAATTAATTAGAATTTGATGTTCCATTTGGCTGAACTGGATTGTAAATTTGCTTCACTGAGCACAGATTATGCAGATTCACTTGTTTTGGTTTCCTGACCAGGTGATGATGTTATGAGTGTGATTTTGAACAGCATGACCAGATCAAACTCTTTCGGTTCTCTATATATCCAGATCTCTTTATCTTTTTAAATGAAACTAAAGAGATTATAATTATCTAAATTTATCAGTTAAAGTCTGGACGTCAACATGAGTATTCTCTCGCATCATAATGTTGAGCTGCTATCTGTGCAAGTCTTTTAAATTTATACTTTGGTAGAGAAGGAAGACAGATGGGGATACTATTTCAGATCCTTGCACCAACTCTTGAGAAAGAGTTTTTCATATATTCTGTTCTCGAACAGTTAAGATAGAGATTACCAGCCGCTGAGGACCTTGTATAATAGTGGTGTTTTTCTGAAGAATAACAAAATAATTCTGAAATGTTTGGAGGCGTTAGATTGTTGATGAAATCATGCATAAAACAGATGGTTTTGAAATTGATAAGATGAAATGGAAGAATGTTTGACATGTTGAACAAAGGTACAGCATGGAATCTAAAGAGTTAGAAAAACATTATGCAGAGGACATCTTTTTGTAAAATCAACACCTTTTCCAAATTTGATCAAGCAATTTAGCCCCAGACTACAACTCCATAAGACATGTAAGGTTGAATGTAAGAGATCAATATATGTTAAGCAATACAGTTTGTGGGACAAAATGTCTCAATCTTGATAAAATGCTTAAAGACTTGCTAATTTTTGATGAAATAAATGCAATGTGTTGAGTCCAAGATAAATTTGAATTGATAAGGACACCAAGGTGTTTTATATATTCTTTCCGTTCCAAAGAGACAAGGGAATTGGTGCTATAGTCAAAGATATTAATGTTTACCTATAAAAATTGTGATAATTAATTAAAAAATTTCTTAAAAACATTTTAAGATTGCTAAAAAACGACGACGTTTCGACTTTGGCTAAACGTCATTATCAAGTCAAAAAATATATTTGTAAGTTGCAGTCTATATATCCCAAAATAACAATGGGTGATAATAAGCTATAACGTAGGAAAAGAACATAAGTAATTAAACAAAAAGTTTGCCACCTATGGATATTTAAATTAGGCTAGAGATTCTTGATGAACAGCATTTCAAAGACTAAATTATCATTTTTGGCTGCAATGTAGGGAGAATCTTAAGGCTAAGATCGCGCAACTGCTTCCGAACCGCATTAGCGGCCACCTAATCTTTGAATGAAAGACTAATTCTTACTGTGCTACTATCATCGCTGTTTCTTTCCACGCAACTGCTTCCGACCGTATCAGCGGCCAATTACTCTTTAAGTGGAAGACTAATTTTAGTCTGTTTTTGTGAGCAAGAAATTGGGGTAAGACCTTAAACCCAAAGAAATCAAGCCCCCAATTGTGAATCGGCAATGCGTTGTTTATCGTTTTTCAAGTGATCTCTGCAATGTAGATTATGTCGGGTACACAGTCCGACACTTTCATCAACGCACTACTGAGCACAAATATTCGGCAATCGGTCGACATTTCGTGGAAGCTCATGGGGTAAAATTTTCGCTCAGCCCCATACTATTGAAAAACAAATCTGTTTTACCAATGGCAATGTATTGTTTTTGTCATTGTTTTCTCGATCCAAGAACTGAATGCATAATGTAGTATGGGGCTGTGCGGAAATTTTACCCAAACTTTTTGTTTAATTACTATCGTTCTTTTTTACGGCGTAGCTTTTGGTATAAATAGACTACAACTTACAAATATTTTTGACTTGATAATGACGTTTAGCCAACGTCGAAACGTTGTCGTCTTTTTTAGCAATCTTAAAATGTTTTTAGGAAATGTTTTCTCACAATTTTACTTACAGTTAAATGTTTTGCTAAATCACCTCTTCTTCGTATATTTATGTTCACTTCATAATCAACACGTTTTTGATACGGCCTGAATATATCAAAGTTGGGTTTTTTGACGTTGAGAGATAAGCTATTGGTACAACACCCTTTCTTGGATACGTGAGCGCCGACCTGAGTAGTTTGATGTCGATCATTTAGATAAGAAGACATACGAATTTACAAACACAAACTTACATCAGAGATACAAGAGTAGAAACTGACTTGGGTTATTTCGATTCTGTGCTTTGAATGCCACTATTCCCTTTTAAAAACTTTTCTAGCACGAATAATGTATTGTAATTTTATCTTGAGGTAAATAAGAACGTTTATCCAACGCTCATTATAATCTCACCTGCGACACGTTCGATTTCCCTATTAATAACCTCGACAATTGCTGAATACGCTTAAATTAATTTCGATTTCTAGGCCAACTTTCATTTAACACACACTTCCTAACGTACCTGTGTAGAAGGAAATAATTCCGCAGTTCCTTGTTATCCTCAGAGAAATGTTAGAGTAAAAGATTTGGTTCGGGAGACGGGAGACGGGAGACGCCAGAAGTGCCAATAATGCCTGGTCCTCACTAGTGACGCAAGCATAAGCATAAGCAATGGCATGCAACATAAGCATAAGCATATACGCATGCGTAGAGTGTATTTTTGTGTCCATTCCCTCTCGCCAGTACACCCATTCAAAATGGCGGACGAAGAGGATTTCACTAGCGACTAAATACAGGAATGGCTCCGACCTGTGATTGGATGATAAAAATAGTAAAAGTTAAGAAGTTATATCTTAACTCGTTGCTCGTGAGTATTGTTAACCGCGTGTCTCGAAGCGGAACAATGAAATACCAATGTAAAAACACCGATGAGTCAAACAAGAAATGGCTACTTACATAACGAAGAGAAGGCAGAGTCTATCTTGTTCAGCGAGGTCGTTCAGTGATATTCCGGCGATGAAAAAGTCATTCGCTGACAAAACTCATTTAGTCAGTTTAGGCGGACGACCAGAGACTGGAGCCATTCGTGTATTTCACCGCAATGGTTCCAACTCATGCGTATATTAAATTTTTTTTTTCGTTCTGGCTAAATAATTTATACACTGAGATAAAAACTGAAAGAGCGATTTATTAGGTTGTAGTCTACAGTGCTTGCAAATGAAGCCCTCTTTTATTACTATAGGGCCATGTAGTTTCTAAGTTTTAAAATAATGCAGCAACTGCATGTCACGTTTGGAAAATCACGCAATGTTGCGTGATGCTGCGACCTATGTTTTTAATTTACAGCATGCTCTGCTGGAGAAATAAGGTTTGGCCGCAATCGAGGGAGTTTTTTTGCGTGGAAAACTGATTTTCTAGGTTATTGTTCACATGAAGGACAAATCCATTCATCGGGCTCTTCATCTTTTTTTGCACAACGCCTAAAGGGAGAAAGTCGTGGATTGATTTTGCTTGGTAATTTCTAACAACTCCACTAGACCTAAAAAAGGAAAAAAAACAAACCAAACCAAAAAAACGTCATACCAGTCAAGCCAGTTGCAGTAGCTCTCGCACTGAATCATGTCGAAGTACCTTGACTGTTTTAGCTAAAACCGTGGCTCCCAAAAATATTTCTCACCTTGCCTTAAAAGTTTTCAGAAGAAACTTTCAAATTGTTCACAGCTTTGCCTATTCCTGCTCGTAGGTCCAGCCAAGCCCTTATGGTCATTGGCCCCTGCATTGGCCGCTAACGATGGCTTATAAATACAGGCGTTTGGTGTTGACTTGTATAACTCCCTGAGAAAGTTTACGACAGTTAGACGAAACGCGTCAGAGAATAAAGAATTTTTACAACTACTGTTCGTACAGCGCTGCTCACTAGTTTTAGTTTTTTTTTTTTTAATTTTTAAAAAATTGTTTAAAAATTATTAAAAAATTATTGAAAAAAAATTAATAAACGTTTGAGTCGGAGCTATTCCTGTCAGCGGTGAAATACAGGAATGGCTCCAGTCTCTGATCGTCCGCCTGAACTGACTAAATGAGTTTAGTCAGCAGATGACTTTTTCATCGCCGGAATATCGCTGTACGACCTCGCTGAACAAGAAAGGCTGCCTTCCCTTCGCTACGTAAGTAACCATTTCTTGTTTGATACATCGGTGTTTTCACTAGCATTGATATTTCATTGTTCCGCTTCGAGACACGCGGTAAACAATACTCACGAGCAAGGAGTTAAGCTATAACTTATTAACTTTTACTATTTTTATCATCCAATCACCGGTCGGAGCCATTCCTGTATTTAGTCGCTTGTGAGGATTTCTTGTTGCTTCTTGCACTTGTTGTTACTTTACGCTGGCGCAGACGACAGAAAAGACGTAATGTAAAGCCTAAAAGGTTTTGGGTTCGAGAAATCTCTCGTAATCGCAAAAGATGTGGGGAATTTCACAATCTTGTACTGGAACTTCGACTTGGTGATCGTGAGCTGTACTTCAGGTGAGCTACATTTTACTTGTATTTAACTAAATTCCTGTAAGACCAAATAATCAATTTGTATCCTGTCTATCTCCCTCTAATATATCCACTACAAATCTTTAAAAACCAAATACGTATGTAATAGTCTAATGCAAAGGAAAACAAATCAGTAAGCCATGAATTAAATAAGGAAAGTAGTCGATGTGGTAGTTCTGAATTCTTGAAATTACTGCCAAGCAAACTTCACAAAATGAAATGTACCCAGGAAAAAAACCAAACAATTAAAGGAAATAACGGCTATTAAGTTTGAGGCTGGGTAGAAGACTAAGACTACTGTTAAACTATATTGTGCACAATATAGCATAAACCAACTTGTGAAAATCATTGTTTTTTAAAAATTTGCTTTAACTATACAATTTTTGTAAAGCGCTAGGGACAAGTAATGGATGGTTTGAGCTTTATAAGCATTTCATTATTAGTTATTATTATTATTTTCCAGATACATGTGCATGTCACCTGAAAGTTTTGATCACCTTCTTTCTCTGGTCAGCCCACTCATCTTAAAGCGTACTACCAAATTAAGGGAGCCAGTTTCGGCTGCAGAAAGACTGGCCCTGACTTTAAGGTTCCTTCCATCTGGGAATAGTCAACAGTCAATGTCATTCTCTTATCGTGTTGGTAGACAAACAGTCAGTAGTATTATCAAGGAGACCTGCCGTGCTATTTGGCAGGTGCTTAATGAAAAGTATTTGAGAGCACCAAGTTTGCCTGATGACTGGGAGGACATAGCAGAAGAGTTCATGCAACTGTGGAATTGTCCTCATTGCATTGGCGCCATTGACGGTAAACATATTGCCATTGAATGCCCAGTCAACAGTGGTTCTCTATATCACAATTACAAAGGTTTTTTCAGCATTGTTTTACTGGCCATTTGTGACGCTCACTACATTTTCAACTTCATTGATATTGGAGACTATGGAAGCAACAATGATAGTGGAGTACTGGAAAACTCAGATGTGGGAAAAGCCTTTGCTAATAATAGTCTAGGTGTTCCAGATCCAGCTCCAAACTAACAGTGCACCCTACTGTCCATCAGGATTTGTTGACATTGAAGATGGAAGTGGTGATATAAGAACAGGGGAGTGGCGCCAGGTTGTCCGCAATGACAGCAGAGGGGCACTGTTTGACATTGCTCCACTGAGGGGTAGAAGATATTTCAACTCAGCCATTGAAGTCATTGAAGGCATTGATGGAATATTTTGTTTCCCTGCCTTGGCAATGGAATCATGTAAGAAGTAGAGGCCAAATTGTTAGGTAGAAGGACAAATTTGCTAAAGCATAGAATCTGCAACTGTTGAGATCACTGGTACATTGTCTGTTAGAAACTTGTGCATTACCATAGTGTTTTTTCTCTTTCTTTCTGTCTTTTCTTCCAGGATAATGAAAGCAAAGTGGTACCTGATATTATTTACCAAGTGGAGAGTCGTTCCTGTGGCATGCTTAAGAAAAAGAGGACTGATTTACACTATATGTCAGTTTGTGGTAATATGTGGGAGTCCAGGAGAACAAGAAAATCTGTTAAAACTCATACCATATTAGTTATTATTATTATTTTCCAGATACATGTGCATGTCACCTGAAAGTTTTGATCACCTTCTTTCTCTGGTCAGCCCACTCATCTTAAAGCGTACTACCAAATTAAGGGAGCCAGTTTCGGCTGCAGAAAGACTGGCCCTGACTTTAAGGTTCCTTCCATCTGGGAATAGTCAACAGTCAATGTCATTCTCTTATCGTGTTGGTAGACAAACAGTCAGTAGTATTATCAAGGAGACCTGCCGTGCTATTTGGCAGGTGCTTAATGAAAAGTATTTGAGAGCACCAAGTTTGCCTGATGACTGGGAGGACATAGCAGAAGAGTTCATGCAACTGTGGAATTGTCCTCATTGCATTGGCGCCATTGACGGTAAACATATTGCCATTGAATGCCCAGTCAACAGTGGTTCTCTATATCACAATTACAAAGGTTTTTTCAGCATTGTTTTACTGGCCATTTGTGACGCTCACTACATTTTCAACTTCATTGATATTGGAGACTATGGAAGCAACAATGATAGTGGAGTACTGGAAAACTCAGATGTGGGAAAAGCCTTTGCTAATAATAGTCTAGGTGTTCCAGATCCAGCTCCAGTAGAAGATTGTGATATACCAATTCCATACTTCATTATTGGGGATGATATCTTTGCGTTGAAAACATGGCTATAACGTTCATTTCCAGGCCGATCAAAGCTGTCAGAAGCTCAACAAATTTTCAGTTATCGTTTGTAAAAAGTTAGATGTGTCATTGAGAATACTTTCGGCATTTTAAGGGCAAGATGGCGTGTTTTCAGTCGTCCAATTCAGGCCTCAGTGCAAACAGCAGAAGAAATTACCAAAGCAGCTGTGTGCCTACATAATTACCTGAGACAAACTAACAGTGCACCCTACTGTCCATCAGGATTTGTTGACATTGAAGATGGAAGTGGTGATATAAGAACAGGGGAGTGGCGCCAGGTTGTCCGCAATGACAGCAGAGGGGCACTGTTTGACATTGCTCCACTGAGGGGTAGAAGATATTTCAACTCAGCCATTGAAGTCATTGAAGGCATTGATGGAATATTTTGTTTCCCTGCCTTGGCAATGGAATCATGTAAGAAGTAGAGGCCAAATTGTTAGGTAGAAGGACAAATTTGCTAAAGCATAGAATCTGCAACTGTTGAGATCACTGGTACATTGTCTGTTAGAAACTTGTGCATTACCATAGTGTTTTTTCTCTTTCTTTCTGTCTTTTCTTCCAGGATAATGAAAGCAAAGTGGTACCTGATATTATTTACCAAGTGGAGAGTCGTTCCTGTGGCATGCTTAAGAAAAAGAGGACTGATTTACACTATATGTCAGTTTGTGGTAATATGTGGGAGTCCAGGAGAACAAGAAAATCTGTTAAAACTCAAACCATAAACTTGTTCCCACACCTTTTTTAAGTTACCTTTGAAGAGATTGTGACAAGCAGAGAAGAATAAAAATGTAATGTTCCTTACAGTTTATAGTAATAAATGTCCTTCAACAAATTAGAGAGCATAACTGATCTTGCTTACTTTACAGAACAAACAAATGTGCTTATGATCTCCATAAATCATTTGAATACAATTCTGTAGATACAGTATCAGGCAGATAAATAAGAGCTAAAGAAATAGAAATGTTTAATGAACATTTACTGTTCCATATGATGTAATTGTCTTGTTTTCTCAACTGTGTGGCAATTACAAAGCAACACGTTTAAAAAGAAGAACTCAGTCCAACAACAACAACTTTTGAATATGATATTGATTATTGTGAACATGTTTTATCAATTCTCTGACTGTCAAAGTTGTTGAAAAAAATATCCTTGGGGAAATACATGATTATCTCCACTTTACATTTCTGTTAATGCAAAAGATAGAGCTGGAGGTGGTGTTGTTTCCCTGACATTTGTTTGACTGTAAACTTGTGGCATGTCATGACTCCTTTGCTCTTGAGTTGAAAATCCACCTGCTAAATAACCTGGGTTAGGGTTAGAATTCTTTCTTAACAAATGAGAATAGACCACATTGCCTATTTCCAATTTAGCCATGACCCTCTCATGGTATGGCAACTGACGAAGTTGAGATGCAATCAAATCCCCAAAAATGCTTTCTTCATCTCTTTGGGGTTGTGTTGGCTTTTCCTTGAGCCTGTCTCCAATTGTCTGGAGGAATTCCAACTCAGCACTGTCAACATCATCCTTTGCCCTATTACGCTTCGTGTACTTTGTACAACCAGTAACCTGGGACTTGAACATCACTTTGTCGTCAGGTTCTGCTGAATTTGATGACCTGTCACAGTCGTCATCTTTATCAGTGCTATCAGCTGTGAGGTCACTGTCATCATTGACCATTACCAAATTACTTGTACTACTTCGTGGTTGTATGTATGGCTCAAGCCATTCCAAATAGAGAAACAATTCTGATGTTTCTCTTTTAACATCTGTCACAGAATCTGTTCCTGTTGCACTGACCGTAGCATTCCTGATCTTCTTCTTATCTCGACTGTATCTGTTTCTTAAATTTCTGAATGCTGTTTCTGCCTCTTTTCCTACAAAAATATCACTAGACGCAACGAAATGAATGACGAGTTTGTATCTGTCAGCCATACTAATCAAGGGGTTGTTATAGAAAGATTATTAAAAACACCCAGGAAAACCACAGTAAAAAATCAGTGTAAATATGGCAAATAGAATTCTTATATATCTTAAGTTTAGTTAAGCTTAATGAATGTACAGTTATCCTCATATTCATAACTACAAGGGTCTTTTATCAGCCATTAAATCGCTTATTCGACGTTCACGCAAGCATTTCATACCAATTTAAAGTCAGTCATCTTCATTTTATACTATTACTCATGGCATAAACAAAGGAGAACTTCCTTCAGACTCTTTCAATTAAATTGATTACAATCATTCATTGCCGAGAAACCATACTCCAGAGCGTTTCCCTCTTACGCCTGAGTCATTGGTTGTGATTAAAACGCCAAAACAACTAATTCGACAAACATTAAAAACATTAAGTCCAGCTTGTTCAAACGCGCTACCAGTACGAAATCCAAACTGATCAGAGAAAGAAAATAATCCATAAATGACTAACCTGACGGAAAACTGACTTCCTTCGCCACATCCTCTCATGCTCTTTCCTTCTTGTGTCTGTCTTTGAAATCTTTGGATGATTTGTCATACAGGATCGGGAATTTTCTCACCGATTCTACCAGTTTTTCATCAACTGTTGCATTGCCCGCCATCTTGTTTCCCGAGGGAGCGGTCTGGGACCCCGTGTTTAGTGATTGGCTAGTAGTCTTGTGCTTACGCTTATGCTTATGCTTATGCTTATGCTTATGCCTATGCTTATGCTTATGCTTATGCTTATGCTTATGCTTATGCTTATGCTTATGCTTGTGCTAACCGTGTCCTCACTGGAAATAATAACGACATAAGCATAAGCCTAAAAAAACGCAAGGTTTTGATATTCTTATGCTTATGCTTATGTCGCGGTTGTCCTCACTAGCGCATAAGCTTCTTACGCTTATGCTTATACTTATGCTTGCGTCGCTAGTGAGGACCGGGCTTAATTGCAGAGGAACGTGCAGCTTGGAATTATCCGGACCTCGGTTATCCGGACTTTTTCTCTTATTCCAATTTTGTCATGAATATTTAATAGTCATGATAAAGATCAGTAGCCATATTTTTTAGAGAACTACAGCGTTGAAGAGTGAAGTAAAGGCGATTTTGTCTAGTTTTCAAAAAGGAACAGCAGCGCACGCTAGCGTTGTAACTGATGATGCTAAGTGAGATTTCACCCTCTATTGCTTTAATTGTATTCCACCAATCAAATTCTATTTTGCCACATTAAACTTTGCTATATCAGGTGTCATTTCTTTGTAAACAACCTGCATTTTATCACGTATTCTAACCGCATTGTCCAGCCTTACTGACAAAAAATCACATGGAACTAAATGCTACTGATACTGAATTTTCCACGCAATTCTCCGACATTTGACTTTTTTTCTGCGATTTAAAGTCGCTTTAAGCAACCCTAAACTTGACCTAATTGTGTGTTAACTCCCAAGATTTCGTTAATAATTCTCCTTACTTTCTGCCATACAATTTATATGACGCTAGTTTAGAGAATTTGGAATTAGATCAACCAATAATCCAGTAATTAGGTTTTTTTTATTCTCATTACTTGTCTGCTTGATACCGTACTGAAAGTGTGAGGACAAATTCTCTCTAGGTCACTAGTGGGACTTCAAGGTTTAATTCCTTGTAAAACAACCTACATTTTATCGCGTATTTCACACACAAAGGGCAAAGACCAGATAGGCAACAACCAATCAAGGAGCCTTCTTTGATATATCACCCTTTTCTTTTATTCAGTGTATCTTCACTTATTCGAGATTGCAATATATCTTTGGTGAGGGTCTATTAGAGGTACAGCGGAGTTTTAGTTTGCTTTTAGTAGTTAAATTACGC